TTCTGGTCATCATCCTGCACGAAACTGGATCAACCACACCCTGCAGCCAGAGCTGTTACCCATCCTGTGTGTGCAGCAGAAAAGGCCTCACCTGTGTTCCTCAGAATCTGCCAACAAATGTCACTAACCTTGACTTACGTAGGAATGACATTGCAACTATTAATCCATATACTTTATTGAGGTACGGAAATTTGACACAACTGGATCTGTCCCAAAACCGAATAAGTTACATTCAGTCTGGTACATTTCAAGGTCTACCACAGCTCCAAGTGTTGCACCTATCTCATAACAAAATAACTAGCACCCAGCCCGCTGCATTCTCAAACCTACCACAACTCCAAGAGTTAAACCTGTCCTTTAACAAAATAACTAACATCCAGCATGGTGTATTTGCAAACCTATTACAGCTTCAAAAGTTGATCCTGTCCCGTAACCAAATAACAAACATCCAGCCCGCTGCATTCTCAAACCTAGCACAGCTTCAACAGTTGATCCTGTCCGGTAACAAAATAACAAACATCCATCCCGCTGCATTCACAAATCTACCACAGCTCCAGGAGTTGAACCTGTCCTATAACAAAATAACTACCATCCAGGCTGCTGCATTCTTAAACCTAGGACAGCTTCAACAGTTGATCCTGTCCCATAACAAAATAACTAACATCCAGCCCGCTGCATTCTTAAACCTAGGACAGCTTCAAAAGTTGCACCTGTCCTCTAATCAAATAACTTACATCCATCCTGCTGCATTCTCAAACCTACCACAGCTCCAGGAGTTGAACCTGTCCTTTAACCGAATAACTAACATCCAGCATGGTGTATTTAGGCACCTTTTAAAGCTTCAAAAGTTGATCCTGTCCCGTAACCAAATAACTACCATCCAGCCTGCTGCATTCTCAAACCTAGGGCAGCTTCAACAGTTGATCCTGTCCGGTAACAAAATAACAAACATCCAGCCCGCTGCATTCACAAATCTACCAAAGCTCCAGGAGTTGAACCTGTCCTATAACCAAATAACTAACATCCAGCCCGCTGCATTCTTAAACCTAGGACAGCTTCAAAAGTTGATCCTGTCCCGTAACAAAATAACAAACATCCAGCCCACTGCATTCTTAAACCTAGGACAGCTGCAAAAGTTGAAGCTGGACTACAACCAAATAACTGACATCCGGCGTGGTGCATTCTCAAACCTACCACAGCTCCAAGAGTTAAACCTGTCCTTTAACAAAATAACTAACATCAAGCTTGGTGCATTCAGAGATCTACCAAAGCTCCAGGAGTTGCATCTGTCCTATAACCGAATAACTAACATCCAGTATGGTGTATTTAGAAACCTATTACAGCTTCAAAAGTTGCTCCTGTCCCATAACCAAATAACAAACATCCATCCTGCTGCATTCACAAATCTACCAAAGCTCCAGGAGTTGAAGCTGGACTATAACCAAATAACTAACATCCAGTCCACTGCATTCGCAAATCTACCAAAGCTCCAGGAGTTGCACCTATCCGATAACCGAATAACTAACATCCAGCATGGTGTATTTACAAACCTATTACAGCTTCAAAAGTTGCTCCTGTCCCGTAACCAAATAACTTACATCCAGCCCACTGCATTCCAAAACCTACCACAGCTGCAAGAGTTAAACCTGTCTGTTAACAAAATAACTAACATCCAGCATGGTGTATTTACAAACCTATTACAGCTTCAAAAGTTGCTCCTGTCCCGTAACCAAATAACAAACATCCAGCCCACTGCATTCCAAAACCTACCACAGCTCCAAGAGTTGAAGCTGGACTATAACCAAATAACTGACATCCAGCGTGGTGCATTCTCAAACCTAGTACAGCTGCAAAAGTTGTACCTGTACAAAAACCAAATAACTGACATTGATCGTGGTGCATTCTCAAACCTACCACAGCTTCAAAAATTGAATCTGGCAAATAACCAAATAACTAACATCCAGCTTAGTGCATTCTCAGAACTACTACAGCTTCAGTCATTGTACCTGAATGACAACAGAATAAAAACCATTCAGTCTGATGCACTTTCAAACCTACCCCAGTTACAAACGTTGCAATTGCACTCCAACCAGATGGAGACACTTTCCTCAACAGCCTATTCCATGCTGTCATCTATCTCTTACATAACAATTTGGTGGAACCCCTGGCGGTGTGACTGTAGGATGCTTCCCTTTCGCCTTAAGATGAATGGGTCTCATTCATTTGAAAATCGGATGACATGTTCCAAACCTGATAACTTGCAAGGGCAAAAGCTGAAAGATATCAATCCTGAAGATTTAAAGTGTAAAGACCCAACCATTCTAAGCTTTCACAGTGTTGACAATGGCACTTTGGTGCAGGGGGTGACTCTCAATTTGGTTTGTGAAGCTTCAGGTATGCCTAAGCCAGACGTCACAGTCACCCTCCCATCTGGACTGAATGCTACTGTTGAGTCAGGAGGAAAGGTGACTGTGGAGGTGAAGAATACCACAGCTACAGTCACCATAACAGGTGTTACTGCAGCAGATGCTGGTCAGTACACCTGTATCGCAACAAACCCAGCTGGCTCAGCATCTGCCACACTCTCTGTCAATGTCCATCCGGATCTTCCCCTGACTACTACAGAGTTTAATGCTTCATCTATCTCAGTACATCCCACGAGAAACAGCAACCTTGCGTCTTCTACAAGTTTCTCCCTACCTGTACCTGTTGCCTCTACACCTTCAGAACACCTTGTGTCTAAGACTTTCTCCCCTGCTGCACCTGTTGGCTCTACACCTTTAGAACATCTCATGTCCTCTCCCAGTTCCTCCCTACCTGATTCTACACCAGGTCCTTCAGAACACCTTGCATCTTCTCATACTACCTCCCCACCTGTACCTGTTGGCTCTACATCTTCAGAACACCTCTTATCTTCTCCCAGTTCCTCCCTACCTGGCTCTACACCAGGTCCTTCACAACACCTTGTGTCTTCTAAGACTTCCTCCCTTTCCATAAATACTAGCTCTACGCCTTCAGATCAGACAGAATCTGATCCCACTTTCTCTGTACCTGTCCTTGTCCATTCTTCACCTCCAGAAGAACCTGAATCTAATCCCACTCCGACCCTGTCTGTTCTCATTGCCACCATGGCTGGTGCAGCTGCTGTCATAAGTTGCATCATTCTAACACTCTGTTGGAAGAGGTGGACCAGGAATCGCTCTACTGTTGCCGCAGACCCCGGTGTTGTGTACAACAGTACAGACACCACAGCTGGTGTTGTGTACAACAGTACAGACACCACAGCTGGCGTTGTGTACAACAGTACAGACACCACAGCTGGCGTTGTGTACAACAGTACAGACACCACAGCTGGCGTTGTGTACAACAGTACAGACCACCACAGCTGGCGTTGTGTACAACAGTACAGACCACCACACCTGGTGTTGTGTACAACAGTACAGACACCACAGCTGGTGTTGTGTACAACAGTACAGACACCACAGCTGGTGTTGTGTACAACAGTACAGACACCACAGCTGGCGTTGTGTACAACAGTACAGACACCACACCTGGTGTTGTGTACAACAGTACAGACACCACAGCTACTGTAACAACCGGTGGTCATGACCAGATGCAGCATCAAAATGCTGATGCCTGATGATCTGACAGGTCATTAAGACACAGTCACCACCCCATGTCTGCTACTTTCTACATGTGTCGATATGTAGTATCATATTCCAAAAGCTCAGCTTTTTGAAACTACATGTCTTGATACCCTTTTGAAGCTCTGTTCTTAAGTTTGAATATATATTCAGCAAGTGCCTATCAGAGCATGTGAATTCACTAGTCTTGTACTAGTAAGATTGGCTTTAAGGCCCGTATGTGCAAAATGTTGGGAAATTTCCCACGTACACGATGTTGTACATTGTAAATTGAACGTGCACTAGTCCTATTGTCTGTTTGTCTCGTCATGGTATGGACTGTATATTGAGGTGATGAGTTGAGAGCCAGAGCTTGTAATTAGTGATATTACTAACTTTGTGATATTGCTAACTTTAACCAGGAGAGACTTTAACCAGTGTGTATCATTATCAACTAGGCTGATGAAAAGATCTTTATCAATGTGTTATTATTAACAGTAACATTCTTATTAACTAGCCTGATCAGTGTATGTTATTATTAATTTGGCTGATAGACAGTCTTCAATCAGTGTCAATCATTTTTAACAAGGAGGATGAAAAGGGTTTCATCAGTGTGGAGTACTAACTGATTAAGTTAACTGTGTGTGTTATTATTAACTAGGCTGATAAAGCTTAATCAGCATATGTTATTATTAGTATGGCTGATGGACAAACTTCAATCAGTGTCAATCGTTTTCAACTAGGCTGATGAAAAGGGCTCAGTCAGTGTGTAACTGTGTGTTATCATTAAGACTGTAGGCTGTATATGTATTGTGTGTGTAATTAACTTGGTTGATGGACAGGGTTTAATGATTATTTGATAGGATCTAAGAATTCAGAGTGATTAGACTTTATTTGCATGTACATATTGCCCTTGTTGTTGATTGTTACACATGCTTTAGGCTGATAATAAAATTTCATGCAACTTGTTGAATAAACTAAAGAAATGTCACATTGTAGACCACATCTTTCCTATAAGTTTACAATAAAATGCCTAAGAACATTAATTTGCCAATAGCATAGCTGTTTTGCTTGCCCTACACAAAGGGACAGGCGATTCGCACATGCAAAGGCACACAGCCACACAGACATATAATTATACAAACACAAACTCTGGAAGAAGCATTACCTGCAACATGGATGCCCTGCCAAGTATTCAGGGCTGGAAAAACCCTTACCTGCTAAAATATACATGTATCCCAGTAGATGCCCTGTTTAGGGCTACAGAAACCCCTACCTGAGTGATACATACAATGTATATGCCTTGTTCTGGCCTGGAGAAATTCTTACCTGCTACATACATGTAGATGCCTTGTTGAGGGCTGGAGAAACTCTTACCTGCTACATAGATGCCTTGTTCAGGGCTGGAAAAGGCTGCTTGCTGCCACAGATGTGGAGGTTTGACCCTACTCTTCAGCATCCCTGCAGAGCTGAAGGCAACACACTGTTCAGCCTCCAGACATCTCTTCTTCATGGCCTGGGGGAAAGACAGCAGTTAAAGTAACCGAAATAACAAGAATAGTACTAGTACATTGGACACCTGAAGGGAAGAGAAAACAAGGACGGCTTAAGATCACTTGGCAAAGAATAGCTGCAAAAGAACTGAAGAGCTTCCACCACACTTGGGATAGCATTCAAAGAATAGTCCAGGACAGAGGGAACTTACTGGAGAACCTTTGTTGTTGCCGTACATGCAGGGACTGGCATTAAGGGCAGTAAGTAGTAAAGTATGTTGTCTCTTACCTCCGGATTGTTCTTCAGACTGGTAGCTTTGATGATGTCCCCTCCGGGCGAGTCCACCCCCTGGTAGAAGTGGAACGGTCCCCTGGTCATGTCCGGCAGTGGAATGTTGTTCTTCATGGCATACTTCAGAAATCTGTATGAGAAGAAAAATGTCCAGGCTTTCCATCCATTGGCTACTACTACATGACAAACATTCCTTATATACTAGTAGTATCGCCTGCTTATATACATGTATCGCCTGTCTTGTCTGTTGTAATTTGTGTATGCAAACTTTCTGCAATTCAGCGAGTTTTATCCCTGCTGTAAGGCTTGCTTTTTGGTGTCATGAATAAGATACTGTGTCATGTATAAATTTTCTACAAACATACCAAAACCTTACATTCATATAACTATAAGAGAGTAACACTCATGACTACAAGTTTCCAATCTACTTGACTACGTAAGGATTTCACCTTCCTTCACCTGCTAAGCAAAAAAGGAACATACATGTAGTTTTCAGCCATGGTCAACGGTTTGTTGCACTTATCAAAAAGTGCAAACCTCTTAATATACTAGCTATACCAGTCTGTCTTGTCTATCACCTCCAGTGGAAGAGAATACACATATGTAGCTCAACAGTTATACTGGTTGGAAATCATGTTCTTTTCTTTGTAGCAGCTCTCGATCTACTCACACATCTCTCTGCTGCTGAACCATTGTTCTCAGCTCCTCATTCCTCCGCGCCAACGCCTCACTCTGGAGCCGCTCCTCACGTTCATTTCTCTCTGACAAAAGCCTGCAGATAAACATATCAGGACTGTTGAAAACAGTGTTATGATTGAAGCCAATTAAAAGAAAGGTAAATCTTCACAAATGTAACAATGGTAAAGGTTTTCTCATGATCATAGCATTTTTCAGGCTGTAGGGGCAGTGTGTTGTTAGTCTACTGTGTCTAAGGCACAGTATTGGAAGGTGGAGCCCATCCTTCTCCTTCCAGTGCCTTTTACCTCACCAAGTCATAAGGTGTGTTATGCCTTGAGGTGATATATTTTGTGGTAATGCAAAACAAACAAAGCAAAATACAAGCGTAAAACCAAAGAAGTATAAAAAGTGGAAAGTAACAAACTCACTGTATCTTTTTACAGAACAAAGCCAAACAAGGCCTGAAGACTATAGAAAACTCTCAAATTAGAAAAGTATGGAAGCAATCATATACTTATTACTTACTTACTACATGGATGTAGACTCTGGGACACAAAATAAACAACGTGCACTGAGGCTGTGAAAAATAAAAAAATACATATACAAACATAACTTACAAGAACCCTTACACACAGAAAAACATTTTTTCTAGTATAAAGGAGAATTTTTTCAGTAGGAAAGTTAGGAAAATGTAACATAATGATAGTCTTGCACTACACTCTTTATAAATCTTTATCCATTGATGTTCTACAATCTAGCAATCGATATCTGTCAGCTCTATGCAAAGAAAATGAGAATTATGCTCAATGTATTCAATTCATTTGTTCAAGCTTGATTTCGTTGAGTGAATGTGTGACAGCAACTTTACCTTTCTCTGAATTTCTGTGACAGGCTGGCCTGTTTGGACTTCTGATTTCTGTGCTGTTGCTCTCGATACTTCAGGGCCCACTGGACAAAGTCTTGCACACCTAAAACACAGAGAAGCAAAGAAGAGACAATTTCAGTTCAAGGAATACCATTATTTTGGCCTAGGACAGAAACCTTGTTTATACTTGGTGACAGCAAGTTCCACTCTACAAAAGTTTTAGGAAAAAACAAGTTTTGGAACACCTCAATCCTTCGTTGATAACTCTGAATACTTGAAGGCAAGACTATTTCTTGTTCTTTTTTTGGCTGGTATATAGTAGATAGTACATTCTATTAGTCTGTTTGTCCACCAGTTAATTAGTTTATCTATCTACCTTGATGGAGAGACACCTTGGGTCTGAATCCTAGTTGCTGCAGGGAACACTGTACATCACCCACCATCCGAACAACCTCCAGGGGAGGGGCAAGCACCTTCACCTGTAACAACAACATACACAAGCCATGTTATAGCATACTTCATTATATTCATAGGAAGGCCCATAGGTACACTTAGCATTTTTTATTCCACTTTGTATTTTCTATGGGTACTTTGTATTTTCTATGGGTACTTGTTTTTTTCTGTGGGTACTTAGTATTTTCTATGGGTACTTTGTATTTTCTATGGGCACTTTGTATTTTCTATGGGTACTTGTTTTTTTCTGTGGGCACTTTGTATTTTCTATGGGCACTTTGTATTTTCTATGGGCACTTTGTATTTTCTATGGGCACTTTGTATTTTCTATGGGCACTTTGTATTTTCTATGGGCACTTTGTATTTTCTATGGGTACTTGTTTTTTTCTGTGTGTACTTCGCGAAGTTTTTTTGGTGGCTGGCGAAGCGACATTCATTTTGCTTTGATGTGGATGCTCCCATTTTTATTATGGCGGTATATTTCTATTTACCATTCTAGGCAACTAAATTTATTTTAAACCTATTAAAACATAATATACTTTACACTTTGAGAAAATTTTGTTTGTTTTGCATGCAATGTTCCACACGTTTATTAATTAGGAGTATCAAATAGTGATTATTACATCCTGGCATAGATTATGTTAATGTAGACACAGGACCATACTATTTTCGGGGGTGCTAGGACATATTGTTCAGACTTCCGTCAACATTTCCGTAGCGATATATGGTAAATCACTTCCTCGCTGAATGTTAATTACTCCTTTGTATTAAAAAAGCCCGTAATCCTAAAGCGAGGGTTCATTGCCAATGTTGGGAAAAAATTGCATTGCGGTTTGCTGCCCTCCTACCAACCGCGAACGTTCATCACATGCAGTTTACGTAGGAAATATGGACAATATGCCGTTTCAGCAAGAACCTGAAATACAAAATTATTCAAATATTCACAGAAAATAAAATTACACTCTAGGTTGACCGTCTAATCGTGTGGTAAGCTACATGTGTGCTGTAGTGACATGAATTGGCACTTTTGTGGGAGGGGGGCGTCCCAACAAAGGTCAACGACCTCCATGGCTTACGGCCTATGTTTCACGCTTTTGCACTTCATAAATGAACAATTTTAGATGTCAGGTTATTTACTGAAACCAAGGAGGTTGAATA